TCCGGAGCCTATGTGTGCGCGGCCCAGGGGTGGGGGATACCCCAGCTGGCCCGGGGGGCGCTGATTTATGCTCAGGTTTAGAGGGGGAGCGAGCCCAGCCACGCCAATTAGCGCAGGCGGCAATTAGTGCCTCGCCACTGGGGTGATGGGGAGGCAGGAGATTTCAGAGAGCAGCAGAGATTTCAGGAGGCCCGAGCGAGCTCTCGCTGCAGAGACCGAAGAGAAGCGGCTTCTCACGCACAACGCCAACGTTGACACACTTAAAACTTCATCTCCAGGCTGCGGGGCTGGTTCAAAGCTGCCTTCTGAGTCTCTCGTCTTCTGGGATTCAAGGCTTTGCTCTTCCACGGTAGCTGCTGCCTCTTCCCCTGGGCACGTGCCGTCCTGCCGCCGGCTCGGAGAAGAGCAACCCCTCCAGATCCAGACAGTCCCAACGGCTGAGTATCTCTGGCCTAGAGAGTCACCAGGACTGGTCCTGCACCGCTTCCCAACAATTTTTGGACTCCATGAGCCCAAAGGTCCCTTCCAACCTAGATAACTCTAATTCTAATCCACAGGCCTGGCAACATTGCAGGTGCCCGACCTGGCTGCCAGGCAGTCGCCAGCACCAAACCCACAAAAAGATGGTTTGAGGACGGTCTCCTTTGGAAATTTCCACTGGCAAAAAATAGATTCACCATGGCAGGTTCCTGCAGACCTTGGGGTGCCCTTCCCCTGGCCTAGCCCCTGTAGAGGGGGGAGGGAAGCACGTATGATGTCCGCGTGTTGAAAAGTCGGTGGCAGGAAAGTCAGGGCTGAAAGTGGACTCCCTCCAGCAGCTGGCTGACCGGGCAGCTAGAATTAAGCCTTCTGGTTTTGGCGTAGAGGTGTCAGCGGTAGGAGTAGCTCAGGAGTGAGGATCACCCAAGCGCTGGTGGAAAAAGGCTGAAGACTCAAAGCTTTTGGAGCACAGCAAGGGTACACCACAGAATTGCCTCTATCCAACTGGGTAGATTGGGGCTGCCCAACACAACACACACCTTCAGCTCACCTTCCGAGAAACAATCCCTACTCCACACCCTTTACTCCAGAGCTGGATGGAAAAGCTCTTCCACTCTCTAACTGCCTGGAGGAGGACCCAGCCCAGCACCCTGGCTGCCATCTCTCCACCAGGACACCCGTCTCTCTCGCTCTGGACAAAGGCACTGCTGAGAACGAAGCAGCTCACTTGGCAAAGGAGCCCTCCCGACCTCGCTGCAGCCAGCATCTGGGACAGACAGCCCGTTTTGTCTGTACACAGAAAGCCTGTGACATTCCTGATGGCTCCGTGCAGAAGGATGAGCCAGGCATTCCCTGGGGCCAGCCGGCAGACAGGGAGATATGGATGTATTAGAGCTTCAAACACTCAAGGGCTTTGGGCGATGAGGGGGATTTCCAGATAAACTTTAAGCTACTTACAGCTTCTGCAAACTCCCCGAGATCCTCAGATGAAGATGACTAACACTAGCGATGCTGAGAGGACCACACAAAGCTGGAGACATGCAGCATGAAACCACACGTCTCCTTTTTCTCCCTTCTTCCCACTAGCCTCGCCTTTGCCAAGAAGACCTAACGGCCACGAAGCTACAGGGTCAAGTGCCACAAGCTAATTCCAAAGTTGCAAAAGACATTTTGTCATCTTCCACCAGCATTGGCCAAGAAGCCGATCTCAGAAACCCCGGGCAGGCAGGGAAATCCCAGGGCAGTTTCAGGTGGAGCTGGAGCAGTTATGTCACTCGTGGGGATGGCAGACACACCTGGGAAAATCCCCGTCGGGGAACGGGATTCACTGACCCAGGGAGGGGCTGTCCCCTCGGAGAGAGGGGCAGGCTCCACCACAAAGGTCAGAGCCCCCTCGCCCACCCCATTTGCAAGATAAATTTAGGCTTTGCCATTCATAAGAGCAGTAGATCTCCTCTCCTGGCCCTGGAAGGGATAGAGGCCATCAACTGCTCCTACCGCCCCTGGTAGTTGGGGGCAATTTGGCAGCGGGGTCTCCTTGCCAACCCACAGCACCCAACAGTGATGCTGCAGCATATGCTGGCCCTGGGTACCACTTCTCAACCCTGCTCCCTGGGCACACCTGGCTCTGCACAGGGAGGTGGTGGAGTCTCCTTCTCTGGAGACATTCCAAAGCCACCTGGACACGTTCCTGTGGGACCTGCTCTGGGTGGCCCTGCTTTGGCAGGGGGTTGGACTAGATGATCTCCAGAGGTCCCTTCCAACCCCATGTGATTCTGCAAGCCTTCGAGTGCAGAGAAGGGGAAGGAGTGACAAGAGCCAGGGAGAAGAGAGCTCAGCCCACCCCAGATCACCCCCCGGGGTCCCTGCTGAGGGGTCAGATGAGCCCTAAAGCAGCTGGGGAAGTGCACAAAAACAGCATCACAGATAAAGGGAGCGATGAGGCGCCAAGCCTATCTGCACACCCCCGTTATCCTGGCCACTCTGCCACAGTGACAGCACCTTATCACCCTCATTAAGCCAGGGCTCCTCGCTGTCCCACTGAGGTCCCCGCAGAGCCCAGGTTGCACTTTGAAGCTCCCAGCTCTTCCCCCAAGCCCAAGCACTCCTTGAAGGGCAAGCCTATGGACACAACCTACCTCACGGGCTGAGACTGGCACTGTCCAGGTCTCCAGCCTGGGTAGAGGCAGGAGGAAAGGGACAAACAGAGCAAGGAGCCGCCCTCCAGACCCGGTGGCCACAGAGTTTGGGGGGGGGGGCTCCTCTCCTCCCGGCAGCAGAGTAACTCGGGTAGATCCCCGAGACCCTCAGGCACGTGTCCTCCTGAGGGAATTCAGTGGGTCGGCGGGTCCCCTCACCCCCACCCTCAAGCCAGGCTCCCAAAGGAGCAGGGACGGTCACGAGCAGCAATGTCAAAGCTCCTCTCCATTTACCCCAGCACTGCTGCTTCAGCACTTTGCCGTGGCTAATGGAGTGGCTCGGTGCCGCCAGAGGAGCGGGTCGATGGGGAGGCAACCGAGGGGGAAGAAGCGAGTAGCCCCTGCTGCAGGTTAACCAGCTGCAAGGGGAGATTAGCAGGAATTTTAGCACTTTTGGAGGTGGCTTACTTCCCCTTCCCCCCTGCCTCCAAACCCTCCGTTATCCTCTTATGCCAGGAGGAAGAACGCAAAAGTTTAATGAGCTCCGACAAGTTTTCAGCACGGTTTTTAAGCATCCTCCGCTCCTTTTGCTATTAATTAGCAACGAGGAAGAATCACCGCCGGGAGAGGCTCCGGCACGGACCGAACAGCTCTCACTGCTGCCCGCGCACACTCCAGCACAGCTCCAGAGCTCTCAGAGGGCCCCAAAAGAGGCACCAGAGAAACCCAGTTCTTGCAGCACTTCCCACAGCCCGTGCTGCAACCTTCCAAGGGCACCGGCTTTAACTTAGCGGCGTCGCACCGGCTAAAAAAAAAAAGCTTACTCCATTTTGCAGCCGGTTTATTTTTACGAGCAGGTTTTCATCTCCCCGTGTTGCAGTTTGAGAACTATAATTTAACGTAACTGATACTCTGCGACCGACCACCCCTACGTACAGATCAGCCAGGGGGGTGTTTCTGTCACGAAATCCTCCTTCCTCCAGCACCAGCCAAAGGCCCCAGGGCACTCGTTTGCCCAGAGGCTTGTGGAATACCTGGAAGGATGCCTCACCTTCCTTCCCTTCTGTGTTTAAAAAAAACCAGAGGAGCGGCACAGGTCCGTGCAAGGTCACAGAGTGAGAAAAAGTTTGCAGAAGCGCTCGGTCTCAACTCGGTGCCACATGCCAGCCAGCCCTCTCCATCTGCCAGGGAGGACTGCAAACCCCCAGCTTATCCAGATCAATAGGAATATTGACAGAACATCCCTCCCTCCCCGGGGTGTTCTGCAAGACACACAGTTTTGATCTAACCAAGAAGGGCGGACCCCGGAGAATGGGTAAAGGGGTAAAATCCCAAGATGGAAGGAGGAGAATGGGCCCCACGAGCCTCGCTTGGCACTTTGTTCTCGTCCAGTGGTTCAGTTGCAAGCCTTCCTGAAAATGAGGGATTGTCCCAAGGCGTATTATGAAATTCCCGGACCACGTCATGCAAGGAGAACACTCACGGCGTTTGCAAGGGGGGCCGGGTGGGAGAGAAATCCCAGACTATTCCAGGAAACGCTAGGAGACATCCCTGAAATGACTTCCCCTCTAGCCAGGAGGGGAAGGGAGGACCTCCCACCTCGCTCCCTGTACCCAGCCAAAACTAGGTCAGTGACACAGCCCCGCTGGCCGCCAGAGCTCCTCTCCAGACACCGGGACGCATGGAGGGGTCCAGCGGGGAGGGTGAGGATGGGGGCAACCTCGCCCCCTCCCTGAGCCGGACAGATTTCCTGCAGGAGAGCCCAGCCGGCTCCCCAGCCCTGCTACAGAAGCAGGCAGTTCCTCTTCTGCTTCCTCCCCGGCACCGCCACGGTGCCAGCTGGCTTGAATGAGAAAACCCGCTTCGGCCTCTCCCCTGGCCTTTCATCAGATGAAACAAAGGGGGAAAAAAAAATATATATATATATTCCCACACCTCGCTTTCAAAGGCTTCCTCTACCCCTTCCCTGGTTTCTAAGGCATGGGAGCTGCTACACCTGACGGGCACCCCCCAAACACCTTGAGAAGAGACACGAGGAGCTCAGCCAGGTCCTCAAAACCAAGGGCTCAAGCTCCAGCACCCTCAGACCGCTTTCCCCCCCGCACCGTGTCAAGGGGAGGGGAGGACACCCCATCCGTTGCTTGGCATCCCAGAAGGAAAACACCTCCCCCTTCTAGAAAGCCCCCTTCCTCCACAGCCCCTTGACCTTGACACCGCCGTTGGACCCGCTGTTCACCCACCCATCCAACGCCGGGGATGGGGAGGCACAACAGGGCGGGGAGAAGCACACCCCTTCCACCACCCCCCCTCCTTTACCGGGTGACCCGTCCCCTGGAAACCGGGGAGAGGGGAAGGAAGGCTCCGGGGAGCCCCGGTACTCACCGCTGTGCGAGCTGAACCACCGCGGTGCGATGTGGAGGGGCAGCGCATCGGCCAGCGAGGCCCTGGCGCCCAGGTACAGCATCCCGTCTCTATGGTGACCGCCTCCCGTCTCCTGGTAACCGTTGCCATGGGCGTACGTGGAGTCGGAGCCCGGACCGCCGCCGCCACCGCCGCCGCCACCGCCGCCCGGGGCCCTCTCGG